ATATATATATATATATATATGTATATACTTATTTCAAAATTCATGATAGTTAGTATAAAATTAATAGCTGATAAATTTTCAGCTTTTATAAAATGTTTTTGTGACATTACTTTTTTTTATGTCTTTAAAATAATACCGGCACTAGAAGTTTTAACCTGACTTGCTGACTCTAGCATTTTGATTTTTATCTTAAATACAATCAAATTTGAAAAAACTAGCTTTTATAAAATAGTCACGATTTTTTCACGCACTCTCCCGGATTATCAATTATAGAGCATACTTTCCTCCTCGACTATTCAACCGTCATCCTTCACTAAAGCGGCAAATTTCGGAGTCTCTAAGAATTTGCAATGTGATCGTAAGCGCGACCTACATTAACGTAACTCGATTGTAGATTGTAGATTGTAGATAGAAAACTGCTTCTACAGATTATTTTCCACAGTGCATGCGCAATTTTTCTTGATTCGTTAATGTCAGTATAGCTATGAAAAATCGTGTACTAAAATTACTTCCCGACTGCGACTCGATCTCTACAAATTTTCGAAGAGAAGATGGACGCACATGTTTCGCTTCGATAAAATCGTCTCTTAAATATTGACGAGAGGCGAATTAAACCTTCTTAATATGATCAGAGAGGAATCAATCATACACAAAATAATGGCAATTATATTCAGATCTGCCATAATACTTTGCTAACGTTTCTGACCAGTCGAACGTGACGTTTCGTTAAACCACAGGAATATTTCATAAGACGATGCGTACCAGGAATTATTCAATATCCGGGAAATCCTTTGAAGTTCTTCGAACTGTTGGCTGCCTTCTTTAAAAGCTTCTCTCGTTTCTTCCTCTCCGTCTATCACATTTCGTTCTTCTCTACTTCTCTTTCTATTTCGCGGGGTATATACCTCGATGATCTCGTCATCAAGAAAAAGATATTACGCCAAGCGCCTAGAAACGCGAATATTTCACGGAAGAAACCGTCTCGATTATGGAATAATTTAAAAAACGAGTACATCGCAGGTAATAGCATCTATTTGCATTTAGAGATGAAACTTCGCCACATAAATCCGAAAAAAGATAACGTTAGATATTTCTAAGGTTTTTGGCTGACGATTGAGAAGACTTAAAACATCATAGAGCAAAAATTCGATAAAATAAAATTTTAATGGAATTTTAGTTATGTATATTATAATCTTTAAAAATATTTTGTTACAATTATCACGTTCCGAAAATTTAATGTGTGCGTTTTGGATCAAAATATTTGAGTAATGAAAAAAAAAAATATTTGAGTAATGTGGAATCAGAAAAGCATTTCGAAGGATGTGCAGTAGTCAGTAAAATAGTGGAAGTTTAGCCAAACAAACACTAGCGGCGGTGTGAAAAACAAGCAGCTAGCGAAATGTCATTTATTCGTCAATAGCAGTTGAAGAAAATCAGTTTTATTAATTTATTTTATTATATATATTCTATACTATATATTTATTTTATTAATCATTTTTATATTACGATTTTCCTGTGTTAGCGTAGATAATTTCATCATAGCCAACGTAATCTTAAAATGCATGATGCTACTGATTGGTCGAAATTCGCCCATCTATATCCCCTCGTGCGCAATGCTTCACCTCTCTAATTCTACACAAGGCTTTCCATTTGATAATACAAATCGATACAAGCGTCATTCTATCTTTATTATTTACTAAAGAAAGATGGAATGATACTTGTGCCGATTTGTGTCACTAAATAAAAAATACCCACAATGGAGTAGACAACTTCTATATACATATATATATTCTATATAGAAAAGTCTATGATAATAACTACTTGATTTATGCTGAAGTTACAACATCGATGTTGTGAAACTAGCTAATCATAGTTTTCAGAAGAATAGTTATGATTGCCTAGTTTCATAATCGATCGAAATTATAACATCGATAACTTCAGCGTAAATCGGACCGTGTAATGTAGTCTATATTTGAAATATATGTATATGATTGGAGTGAATGTGTCTCTTTTTGTAGTGCAAAATTAAATCAAATACATCAAAATACATGTGTCATGTATGTATGTTACATACTTTCAAATGCGAATTTATAAAACACCGTTATATTTGTACATTAGTACATGCAACAGAAACCAATAAGAAATTCAATCTCAAATACCAATTGATGCATATAAGCCGTATTGGTACAAGTAGATATTAAACCGACGCTGTAATTGTATCGTATGCAACCTTTTCTTGAAGATGAACCAATTGCATCCACTTCCGCAGATGCTCAAGCATCGAATGATAAACAAATACGAGAGAAGTAAGTGAATCATATGAATCTCAACATAATATAAATGAATAATTCTAAATCTTAATATTTTTATACTTAATATAATTAATATCTAAACAGCAGTGCTGTTTTGGTGCTCATATTTATTTTATTAATCATTAAGAAAACAAAACCATTTCCATTTAGCTGAGCAATCGCGAAATATATTGATACTATAATGTTCTAAATTATAGAATCTTTAAATATATAATTACACATTCTATAGATCGATGCAAACAGAGGAGGAGAATGAAGATGAAGAATATGATGACAATACTTGCTGTCACCGCGCAACTTTCTGCAGCCCGATGTTACGAGAGATTCTTGTGACAGATGTAATCTTCACATGTTTCGAACTACAGCTAACGTGGGCAGATCTCTTCTGGTTCGCGACTGTGAGCGGCTTGGTCCTCCTAACCTGGGCCATTTTGTACTTCTTGCTGGGTGACATGGTACTTCCAGGTGGCAGTATATTTGGCCTTTTCATCCTTGTCATTTTTTCTTATGCGCTCGGTTGGACTCTTGCTTACATTCCTCGTCTGAATCTTCCGCCCATTTTTGGCATGCTTCTTGCTGGTATAATAATACGTAATACCGATGTCTACAATATATACGATGTGATCGGGCCGGACACGACCTCTAAGATCAGGATCTTCTGCTTGACCTTCATCATGGTACGTGCCGGTCTGCAGCTGACAACAACCGCTCTGAGGGCGCATCCGATGTTTGTGATGATTCTATCACTTGTCCCGTGCACTATCGAGATGTTGGCTGTCACTGTCTTATGCAAATATTTTCTTGAATTCCCATGGAATTGGTCTTTCATGACGGGGTGAGTTAACACTACGTCTACTTTCAATTCATCAAGATACTTATGAAAATCTATGATTAATGGAAATTCTTGTTTATCAAATAATTGAATTCTAATTTAATATAAAAATTAATAATTCAATAGAAATTATATTGAAAATTCTCTATTCAAAAATCCAAAAATTCAAACATTTTTAATTTTGATACCAACCATATTTATTTTACCAGAGATCCAAAAACGGCCTTATTGATTTCCTCCTTTCTCAATATTGTGATGTGATAAACTAATTTGGTAAATGTTTTTAACGTTCAAAATCTATGAAAAACTTTATTCTTGTATATATTATATTGAATAGTATTATATTTGTTAATGTAATAGTCACTAATACAAAATACTTTATTAAACACAATTGGATAAAGAATAATTTCATAAAGTCATAAACACAAAGAACGATTTTGGAATCTAAAGATACAGATCTGAAATTATGTTGGATTAATTACATTAATTATACTAATTACATTAATTATTCAAGCTAGAGTTGTCAAAATGTTAAAACTTTTTGCAAGATTATTATCATAATCATACTTGAGATTCTTACTTAATTATTTTGATAGTAGTAGCAGCATAATTATTTTCAGATCTATATTTAGCTAAATTTTTAGATATCTCGTAAACATTTTTTAAATATTTCGTAGATTTTAAATATTTTTTAGATATTTCGTGAAAAGCATTCTTTCCTTGCAGAATATTGATAATAATATGTGTTGTATTTTAAAAAATTTAGGACAATAATCTAGATTAACAATTGTAAGATTATTATATTATTAGAAAAATACAAAAACAATTTATGTAATAATAAATTCTTTTCAAGATCGATTCTGGCCTGCATGTCTCCTGTAATAACGATCAGCTGTATGCTCACTTTAGCTGAACAGGGTTATGGAGAAGATAAAGGACTCCTCAGTTTGTTGTGTACTGCAGCGTCCATTGACAGTGTTCACATTGTGGCTTTGTTTTCTATCTGGTTCTCTTTCGTTTTTAGCAACGGTATACAGAAATCGTAAGAAAAACGTAATAATACATTGACAAATTTGACGTAGTTTTTTATCGTAAAATTAAAACATTATTATTATAAAAAATTGATGTGTGTGCGTGAGTGAAATATTGATGTAGTAGTATATATATATTAGGTGTACGACTTTGCTTCCGCCGTTTTCCTATAGATGGCTTTAGCGATAAGTGGTCGAAATAAATAGATCATACACGTCGTATAATAAACTTGGGCATCTGTCAACATAACCCCATAGAAACATTAGTCGATTTGTGTCTGCATCATAAAGTTATTCTCGATTGAAAATGTCAGTTTACGAGCCAAATTCTCGTCATTTGCGGGAGGTTTTAATTTTTTGCTTCAATATGAAGAAATCTGCGGCTAAGGCTCATCGAATGCTCTCAAATACTTATGGTGAGGCCGCTATTAGTGAAAGAACGTGTCGTGAGTGGTTTCAACGCTTCAAGAACGGTGATTTTGACGTCCAAGGTCATGCTGTGTATTTGGTGGGACCAGCTCGGCGTAGTGTATTATGAAAGTGTATTATGTTAAAACCGACTGAAACAATCACAGGCGATCGGTATTGAACGCAATTGATGCGTTTGAGCCAAGCATTGAAAGACAAACGGCCGCAATACAATGAGAGACACGATAAAGTGATTTTGCAGCATGACAATGCTCGACCCCATGTTGCGAAAGTGGTCAAGACATACTTGGAAACGTTGAAATGGGAAGTCCTACTCCACCCGCCGTATTCTCCAGACGCTGCTCCCTCTGACTATCACTTGTTTCGATCAATGGCACACGGCCTGGCTGACCAGCACTTCCGGTCTTATGAAGAAGTAAAAAATTGGATCGATTCGTGGATAGCCTCAAAAGATGACCAGTTTTTTCGACGCGGGATTCGCACGCTACCCGAAAGATGGGAGAAAGTAGTGGCCAGCGATGGACAATACTTTGAATCATAAATGTATAACCAGTTTTTTACAATAAAGCCTCGAATTTCGGAAAAAAACGGCGGAAGCAAAGTTGTACACCTAATATATATATATATATATAGTTATGTGTCAATGACACGTAAATCGTCTATGTAAGTCTTACTTACACTGCAACTAATCGTCTTTAGGATCCCCTTAAGCCCGGATTTACAATAGATATTTTAAGTCTTAAGCCATAAGAAATGGACGAATCATAGTCAATTATTCTCTTTGCATTTAACTGTAATTGGTCAATTTCTCATGGCTCAAAGATTAAAACACCTATTGTAGATCTGGACTAAAGCATACAGTTGGGAGGACTATTCAGTGAGAAATGAAATCGAAGTTAAATCAATTTAATTATTTCGACATCAAATCGATATCGATTCAATTGTGATGTCAATTCCATTATCATTTCTCACTGAGCAATGATTACTATTACAATTCATATTAGTAATAACGATTAACGAAAGAATGTAATCAAGTTATGAATAGTAATCATTAGTCTCTCCAATCATTATTATTGGCTAATAGTATTAAGTTGCAATAGTAACCAATGGTCTCTCGAATCATATTCTTCAAGCGTCAATAGTTATGCGAAGTCTGCAATAGAAGTCGTAGCGGTCATAGAATCTTAAGTTGTAGAAAATTAACCAATTACAGTCGAATATGAGAAGAATAATCAATTTTAATTGGTCAATTATGATTGGTCAATTTTCTACGAATTAAAATCCTACGACTTCTATTATTTACGAAGAAGATAAAAGACTCATCAGCTTGTTGTGTACAACGGTCTTTGACGATGTCTACAATTTGTGACTTTGTTTTCTACTTCTCTTTCGTTTTTAGCATACGATATTGGAAATCCTGCATTACCATTGAGAATCCAATCACTGTTTGATGGCTCATTAGTTATACTATTCACTATTCAACAGTTATGATTGAATAGTGAATAGTATAACTATGTTATGTATAAATGTTAATAGTTAATTAATTCCTAATCATTTTTTTTTAAGAATAATCGAATAATACAAAAAATTTTGCACACGAAAAAGAAATATTTAAAATTTTCAACAATAGAAAATATTAATAAGAATTTTGATAAAAATTGATTAGTTGTTTTTCTGTATTAATTTACATTCAGATTATAATTTCAATAAAAGAGAAGTAAAAATCGCTATCAAAGATACATCTTCAATAAATTTATGACATTTACACCATGAATTACGGTATCAATGTAATAAATGTTTCATATCTTCCACGATTAATACATTAACGATTTGACTTCGAGCAAGCTGGTGATGAGCTATACAAAAAAATCTAAACGTACAAAGAGTTTTCCATAAAGTGAGCCATACATCTTCCTAGATGATGAAAGAACAGAGTGGTGGTCCTATATCCCCGGCGGGATTCGAGATTTTCTTCTGGGACTTATAGTAGGAATTATCTTGGGCTTTGCCCTGGTCTTTTTCCCTCATCGCAATCACGTAGGTACCTTATTCATTTTCTCGCGTCCAAGAGCTTACAAAATTCAAGTCACGTATTGCGAGGGCACGTTCGTGTAATCTAAAATAAGAGCAGACTTATTAACGCTTATTTTTACGATATTTTATTAAAATATTACTTACGTTGCGGTGCTCGAATAAAATTTACGGAAATGAAAAGAGCTTATCATTTCTTTATTTGATTATATATATAATAAATATAGTATTCTACATATGTATAATAAATACATTATTTTCTACATACGTAATTCTAACTCACATAATTTATTCATTACATCACAGAAAAAAAATTAATTGGATGGTACAACAAATCTATAATTTATTACGCGAATTCAATATGGATAACTAAGAATTTGATGATTTAACAAATTGTTAATGTTATTCAGTTATCAACTTTGCTATTTTAACATAGAAAATTGACTGTCTGTATATTTGCGACTGTAGATTTGCTGAATCAGTGAAGTTTTCAGCTGTGTTTTTTTCTGTAATCTTAAAACATATCTCTTTTTTATGTTGGATTTGGATAGAAATACTCAACGTGGTATCGCATTGCTGGTTTAACTGTAGCATCTTTAATGTGTACCACAGCAGCCTCAAAATTGACGGTCACAGGTGGAGGATATCTCGCTACTCTTATATTATCATTCATAGCCATCCGTGGTTGGCGAATCTTAACGATTTCGTTTGATGTAGGTAATAGTAGAGTATGCAAAAAAACGGTTTTGTTAAAATATCTAAAAATTTAGCTAGATAGAGATTTGAAAACACAATTTTGTTTAGATCATCAAAATAATTATATAAAAGAAAGTTCAAACTGATTGCTACAACTTTACTAAAACTTTTCGCGGCATTGACGTCAACGTTCAAGTTCTTAACAAAACCGTTCTTTCCGTAAAATGCGTGAAAATTTTTCTCGGAATTGTCTTATCACTATTAATACGTTCCGCCGCATTAATCATTATGACCATTTATATACTGTACTTTTCGTTCAAATTGGTATTCTGTATAAAAAGAAACAATCATAAAATACATTCTGATATTATACGTAATTATGTGATACGATATTAATAATAAATCATCGATGATTCACGCAGAATGCGGTCATCTTTCGATCATCTTTCAATTTAAAACATCATATATTATTTCTGTAATAGTTAATTAAAACAGATGTTAATCTTTAATTTATTTTATATAAAAATGATTTATTAAAGAAAAATGTTAACAAGACATAACAGAAGAAATTCGGCTTTGAAAGTTGCAATATTTTGTAAGGACTATCCTAACAAACAGTATCTCTGTTTATTCTATTTATGTTTTAATATAAAATATTGTCATTATCGTTTATTATGAAATATTTATCAATTAACTTATCTATCTATTAATAAATATTTTTATATAAAGTGTTTTAAATTAAATTTTAGTAAATTTTTTTTTATTTCCTACATTACATTTTATACTGTAGATCTTCTTGTTTATAATATTTTTTGTAGTTTCTTAAGCATTATGAAATATATTTTATTGGATTATGAAACACAAATATAGCAATCATATCGCATAGGCCACGATGTAAACAACAAATCATGTAAAATTGATCCAACACGGAACGAGTTAATACGTGTCTTCTCAATCAGAAATGATAATCGAATCGATGTCGATTCAACGTCGAAAGCATCAAATCGACGTTGATTTCCTTCGATGTCGATTTCATTATCATTTCTGATTGGGTTTGTTTATCTGCTAAAAATTAAAATTCGATATAAAAAAATTAATTTTAATTATTCTCTTTATGTTGCAGACAACACCTTTTCACAGAGCATTTTATTTTTTATGGCATTTCGTACAACCGATTTTAGGAGGCGTGATTGGTGCCGATATTGATTTTAGAAACTGGCCTAAATCCAGATTCGGACTTTACTTCATTTGTGTACTCATGGGAATATCTGTAAGTTACATATGTCGAACGAGATGAAAAGTGAATATTAGTTTACGACATTCAGGGAAAAAATGGAGTAGCAACATATATATAAATTTTACATTTTAAATTAATGTACAATATTAATTTTATTCTTAAAATTAATATACAATTGATTAAACTTTTTTATAGTTAATACTGTAAAATGTTTTATTCAACTATTTACATTAATTTTATACATAATATCATATAAAACTTATACACCTGGTAACACCAAAAGTCTCAATCGGATATCTCAAAAACAAATGCAATTTCGAATAATAGGTTTAGACAAAAGTTGAAAAGTCTACAATTCTACAATAATTGTAAGCGTAGTTGTAAGTGATTGTAGTTGTAAGAATTGACCAATCACAGTCAAATATTCTCCTCGACATTCGACTTAATTGATCAATTTTTATAACTACAACCATTTACAATTATTATTAATTATGCTTACGACTATTGTAGAATAGGCTTAAGGCTTAAAATTGAAGGCGTGAAATTG